GGTTTCAGTCCATACTCTGCTGACTCCAAGACACACGACAGCAGTTCATGGTGGCAGAAAACAAGGAAGACCTGAGGAGGAGCAGAAGCTGCGGCACCCATCGAGCCCTCTCTTCCTTCTACGCTGACTGCCAAGACCGGTGCGCCTCCAAAGAAGCGGCTGGCGCTGCCAAGAGCAGAGCTCTTCCAAAAGGGGATGCAAAGGCGAAGATCCTCCAGGGAAGCGGCCGCAGAAGCCTTCCTCAACCCCCTCATGGATCGTAAACCGAGTCACTCTGGGGCGGCCTCCCCGTCCTAGGGCGTGGTGTCACTGAGCCCATCCAGTAAGCTTTGGCTCCCTCCAGGTGACACTGTGCATAAGCTACCACAGCGGTGTAGCTGAATCACACAGCTGTTCTAGTTTTAGTTTCTTGTGGAACACACCCCCATACTGATTTTCATAAGAACTATACTAATTTACATTACTAATTATGTATAATCTTTCTTTTTCCCAGTGTCCTTCTTAGTATTTACAGTTTTCTGTGTTTGGGACGAGAGTTACCGTGACTGGGGTGAGGTAGAATCGCAGCTTGGATTTGGCGTGCGTCCCCTGAGGGCTGCAGATGGTGAATCTGTTTTATGTTTTGCATTTTTACATTTTATTTATTTATTTATTTATTTATTTATTTATTTTAGTACGGGTCGATAGGGTCTACAGGGTCTCACTACGTAGGTCCTACTCGTAGTGATCCGCCTGTGTTTAGCCTCCCAGGCACTGGGATTACAGGCGCGCACCGCCACGTCCAGCCTCAATCGCCGTCTCAGCACGCTCCGGGGGCGGGTCAGCACAGCACACTGGGATCCAATGCCAGCCGCTGCGTCTACCTAAGAGGGCGCTTCAATCGGCTGAGCTATTTGGCTGGCCTTTGTTCCTTTTTTCACGCACTCTTGCCTGTTCTTTTGAGAAGTGTCTGTTTACTTTATTGGCTCATTTATTGATTGTATAATTTCTTTTGGTGTTCATATGCTCGAATGCTTTGTATATTCTGGATATGAATCCTCTGACAAAGATCTCCCGTTTTCTAGCCTATCTTTTTATTCTGTTTCCTTTGCTGTGCAGACGCTTTTTAATGTGATGCAATCTTATGTTTGCCTCCTTGCTGTTATTTCCTGAGCAATTAGAGTTGTGCGGAGGAAACCATTGCCTGTGTCCATGTATCGGGAAGTGTTTCTTCAATGCTTTATTCTAGAAGTTTCAAAGCTGGAGGTTTTCTACATTGGTCTTTGATCCATTTTGAATTGATTTTTGTTACAGAATGAAAGATAGAGTTTAATTTCAATCTTCTATGTCCAATGCCCAGGGGTATTTTTCAGTAGTATTTATTTAGCAGGTTCTTTTTTCTCTTTAGTCAAGAATCAGAAGGCTGCAGCTGTGTGCGTTCCCATCTGTGGCCTCTGTTCTGTTCTGCCGCTCCACATGCCTGCTTTGACTCTAGTGCCATGCTGCTTATCTTCCTTGGACTTTGCAGTGCATTTCGAAATCATTTTTTTGTGATTCCTCCAACACATCTCTTTGCTCACAATTACTGGGTTATTCCGGTCTTCTATGCTTCCATATGAATTTTAGTATTTTTCCCAGTGTGTAATTACATTTTTGAAGAATGTAATTGGGATTTTCACAGGGACTGCATTACATCTTTAGGTCATTTCTAGTAATATGGTCATTTTGCTGATATTGATTCTGTCAACTTATGAACATTGGGTCTTTCTATCTTCCAGCAACTTCTTCACTTATTTCTGTACTATTTTATAGTTTTCATGGTTGAGGAATTTGCCTCCTTGCCTAGCATTATTTCTAGAGTATTTTTTGGGGGTAGCTATTATTAATAGAATTGTTTTGGAAATTTTTTTCTCAACAGGTTCATTATTGAACCTGTATGGAAAAGCTATTGATTTTTATATGTGGATTTCATGACCTTTTACTTTATTGAAATTACAAAATCTGGTCAAAGCCATCTGGTGAAATCTTTGTGGACTTCTGAGTATAGGATCATATAATCTGCAAATATATATATTATATATACAGGTTATATATGCAAATTATTTAATTCAACTTCTTCTTTTCTCTTGCCTAATTGCTTTGGCTAAAATCTCAAGTACTATATGGAATAAGAGTGGTGAGAGAGAACAATCTTATCTCCATCTTGGCTTTCGAGGAAATGTTTGCAATGTTTTCCGTTCAATTTTACATTATTCTTGGGGTTGTCATTTGTAGCCTGCACTATAGTGAGGTAGAAGCTTCTACATCTAGTTTCCTCAAAGATTTTATCATGAGGGAATGCTGAGTGCTGTCAAAGGCTTTTGCTTCAGCTGTTGAGATAATGATGTAACTTTTATGCTTTATTATTTTTAGTATCTTTTTATTCTTACATCCATAATATTACCATAATTAAAGGCTAGCTACAATGTGTTGTGTAAGTTTTACCCACAGAATTTTATGTTCTCTCATCACCATGTATAGGACAAACTGCAATTTTTCCCACCTAAGCCTTTAAGGCTCTTATGGAGATCACTTAAGCAATGGAAAACCTCAGGAATCATCATATTTGAACTACTAGTATGATATTAACCATAGTAGAGACATTTTATTTATTAGTTAAAAACTTTATTAATGCTTAAATTAACAGTGTTATAAAAATCAGGAAAAGGAGAAACTTACCCATCCTAAGAAGATAGCTGAATATTTACCATGGGTATCACTGGACATATGTGCCTGTTCCCAACCACCAATACTCATACTGCCTTCTCTGTATGTTTCTCTTGTACTTAAAGGTATGCTTTATCCAGTAGTCAAATTCACACAGTAATGCAAATACTCTTCAAGAAAGCATGCTTATATTTCTAAAATGTTTAAATTGATTACAGGCCTGGGATTACAGGTGCACGCCACCATGCCCAGTCTCAATCGCCCTCTTAGTGCTCCAGGGGCGGGGCAGACACAGCAAGCTTGGGATTAAACCCTGCCGTTGCACTCTGTCTAAGCAGGTGCTTTAGTCTGCTGAGCTTCCTGGCCCACCCTAAAACACTCATGTTTTCTGATATAAAAATCAGAGGTCTATTTTTTTTAAAGAAAATCACTCTAACTACAAACCCCATATGTTTCCTTTATCGTCCACCCCTAAAACAGTAAAGAATAAGAAAACAGGTAAATTTTCCAGTCTTTGATTTTAGTCTTTGCCTCCTCTAGTGACCCAGAAGGAAGACAGATCTGACCTTTCTTTGTGCAGAAGCATGGTACCTGCTGTTGGCATCTCTCTGCAAAAGAAGCAGGAAGCCAACCTACCTCTAACTTGTGCAAATTAAAAAGTAACTTTCAGACTAGTGAGTTTTCATCTCTTAGCAAGCAAAATATTTCTTCCTCCTAAATTTAAACTGCATCCTGAATACTCACTGCTTTAATAAATTACCACTTTAAATATGTTAGAGTGAAACTGGAATTTCTACAAAACAGTCCCTTGCTTCTTGGCCCAATCTTCCCTCCAGAATGCACTCCATCCTAATTGAATATCCCATCTAGTTCTGGGGGTCAGCACTACAAGGAGTGCCGAAAATCACAACCAATTGTTAAGGCAAAGAACAAAAGCCAGAAAATCAAAGCACTCTTTGAGAAAACTAGCACTTGATAGGAGGAATAAATGCCTTGGCACTTCAGCAAACACAAAATTTAAAGAATGTTAAGAGTTCTAACCTCTCCAAATGGAAGCAGCTACTTTCAATTGGAACAGGTACCAAAAGCAAACTATGGAACAAGTGAGCATCATAATAAATTGGTAAGGTAATTGGTAATTGATGACATTTTCAGTAATTAATGAAATTCTAATATAGTCCTTTTAAAATGGAAAAATCATAAACACAAGAGTTGATGATACTTCCCAATGAAAACTGAATTAAGTCCTTCAGAACTGAAAATATGGTGCAGGGGACAGCAAAACGCACTGGAAGTCACAGCCACGTGTACAAAACAAGAGACAGTGCAAGTGACACACAATGCTTTGAATGGTGAGGTCATTTGGAAGAAATGACCATCGTAACTTAGTTATGAAGTTATTTAAAACTAATGTGTTAAATTTGGTCTTAAAGCAAAACACTATCAGAATAGAAATAGTACTCTGGCAGTGTGGACAAGTTGAGTAGTCAGGGGAAACAACAAATCCTAAACCTGATTAACACTCACAGCCTACTCGGCGCCAGGCCTGATGTGAACACTTCCATAAGTAATAACCTGCTAGATTCTCCCCAGGAGGCCTTGCGTCAGTAGTGTTCTCTCTTGCTACAGAGGAGGAAACTGAAGTATTTAAGTCATATCTGATTGTGACAGCGTACAACCTCCATGCAGAATTCAAGCAAGATACATTCCATTTTCAAAACAGGTGTGGATCACCCTGAGAAGCCAGAATATTCAGACTTCTAGAAAATGTACCTTGTTTTGAAGTCTTTTTAATGGAAATTGTCAAACATATGTAATCTTAGAAGGAATAATATACTCGACAACCCTCAGCTCACCGCTCCCTACCCCTCTTGATTTATTCCCTACCCCTCCCCTCCTTTCGCATACCTCTTTCCAATATTTTTTTAGTAAAGCACGGATATCTTAGCATTTCCTCGTAACTAAGTCTTGCGGTGTGTATGTCCTTGCTCCCTTCTAAGTATGACTACAATGCTATCATGGAACTTTAAAACATAACAAAAATTTCTTAAATGAAATAGCTACCAATGCTCAGAGTTTTACTAATTGATCTTGCTTTAATATTTGTTGAGAATCTGCAGGACGTACTGGTGCCTAAGGCTGCTGCTCCTTCAGCTGCCCAATCCTTCCGGACCTCCGTCACCTGAAAAGGGGGCGCCCTTTGCGTGGAGGACGCGGAACCCAGGCGGCCCCCGCTAGGCGGCTTCCGCCAGCCGCTGGCCCCGCCCCGATTGCCCAGGCGACCCCGCCCCGTTGCCTAGGCGACGCAAGCCGCGTCCCTGCCGGACTTCCGCGGCGTCCCTGGGAGAGATGACCCAAACAGCGAACACGCCCGACTCGGAGGTACGAGGCCTGTTTGCGAGCTGGGCCGGGTCTCAGCGCCCCAATCCCCTCGGGGTCCTCGGGGTCCTCCGCCGAGGCCAGGGCTGCCCGGTAGAGGTCCAGGGGATGCACAGCCGCGGAGGGGTTGCTGGGACGAGAAGGCTCCCCCACCCCCAGCTGGCCCTGGCTTGCGTCTGAGCGCCTGGGATTGTGAACTGTAAATTCCTGCGTTGGACCGTCTGGGTCCAAACAACCTCCCCACCGC